TTCCTTCTCTTAGTTCATTTTCTCTTGCTACTACCAGACTCCGGATCCCTTGCACACTTTCTTTTGTTCACTTAATGGAAGCCTACGCGCGAACGTTTGGAACAAAAATTACGCCACCGGAAGTGATTAGAAAAAATAAGATTCATAAGATAATACTTGCAGACTCTATGATTGCATGAATTTGAGGGTTTTGCCCTGTTGAAGCTCAAAACGTGCACGGTTCTTCAATAAAATCTTGTAGATTTTTCAGCGGTTTTTGAGCGCGCGCACATCGTGGGCTCAAATCGAACGTTCAAAAGTAGACAGTCATCTTAATTACCATCAATTGTCTTACTATTCTTAATACAAATTTAAATGAGAAAGAAAATTCGCGAAGCATCTTGATAGTGGAATTCAAATGGTGCCATCATGCAAACATTGATAAGGGCTTTTGACGGTATGTTGTTGTAGATGACTATTGAGAGCACCTTTCTCTGCAAATGCCCTGTCGCAATGCGAACATTTATATGGCTTTTCACCGGTATGTGATCGTAACACATGAAAGTCAAGATGACCTTTCCACTTAATTGTTTTACTGCAATAAGCTCAGTTATGAATGTTGGTATTCCTTTTGTGCTGAGGTTGTACATTTGGTAGAAGTTCCTTCCTTCCTTTCACCTCAGTAATTATGGTACTCGATGACTCATCCATCTCAAGGTGTTCATTATCTTCATCAAGGTTATCGTGAACATCAGTGTTATTCAATGTGTTCTGCTCATTGACATCACTTGCATCACCATTGGTTACTTCTTCTTTTATTTCAATACTTTCACTTTCTCTATTTTCCATTTCTCTTTGCTGAGGTTGTACATTTTGTACAACATCCTTCCTTCCTTCCTTCCTTTCATCCTAGTAATTATGGTACTTGTATTATGGGCTTCAAAGCGGATGATCAAGCAGAAACGTTAAGATAAGTTCACTAATGCAAACTTGAACTATTGCCACGATTATCTGGACTACATGCACTAAGTTGATCCGTTCAAACTGAAGATTTTCGACAAGACCGGTACTTCTTTTTACGAGTGTAACAAGAGCTACGATCACTTACTCCAGACAGTTTTATCCTCACGTGCTACACAAAAATCTCATCACGTGGCAAACAAATCTACCGCCGCGAGACATGCATTCGAACAGATGTTTTACCACTTTAGTGATTTCCATAATTATATTACAATATTAAAGTTAACGTTCGTCATGCTATACTACGTGCCCAAATAGTTGTCACGTGTTATCATTATCATGTGTTCGTAAATGAACATGTAAGTCCCAGTTGATTGTAAATCCTTTGTCACAATACGAGCATTTATATTTCTTGTCACGGGTATGGGTACGTAGATGCATTTTAAGGGAAGATTTCGTTGTAAATGCCTTGTCACAATTAGAGTATTTATATGGCTTTTCACCGGTATGTGTTCGTAGATGACGAACCAGAGCACTTTTGTGTTCAAATGCCTTTTCACAGTGCGAACATTTATATGGCTTTTGACCGGTATGTGTTCGTAGATGTCTAGCGAGAGTATCTTTCTTGCAAATACCTTGCCACAATACCAACATTCAAATGGCTTTTCACCGGTATGTGTTCGTAGATGAGTATCAAGACCACCTTTCTGTACAAATGCTTTGTCCCAATACGAACATTCATATGGCTTCACCGGTATGTGTTCGCAAATGAACCTCGAGATCATTTTTCTGCGAAAATGCCTTTTCGCAATACGAACATCCATATGTTTTTTCACCGGTATGTGTTCGTATATGCCTATCGAGAGTATCTTTTCGTGCAAATACCTTGCCACAATACGAACATTCATATGGCTTTTCATTGGTATGTGTTCGTAAATGACGGTCGTGAGTACGTTTTTGTGCAAACGTCCTGCCACAATACGAACATTCATATGGCTTTTTACCGGTATGTGTTCGCAGATGAACCTTGAGGGCTCTTTTCTGTGGAAATGCCTTTTTGCAATACGAACATTCATATGGCTTTTCACCGGTATGTGTTCGTAGATGAGTATCAAGATCACCTTTCAGTACAAATACTTTGTCACAATACGAACATTCATATGGCTTTTCACAGGTATGTGTTCGCAAATGAAGCTTGAGATTTTCTTTCTGTGCAAATGCCTTTGCGCAATACGAACATTCATATGGCTTTYGACCGGTATGTGATCGTAGATGAGTATCGAGACCAGATTTCTGTGAAAATGCTTTGTCACAATGCGAACATTCATATGGCTTTTCACCGGTATGTGTTCGTAGATGACTATCGAGACCTCCTTTCTGTGAAAATGCTTTGTCACAATACGAACATTCATATGGCTTTTCACCGGTATGTGCTCGCAAATGAACCTTGAGGTCGCTTTTCTGTGGAAATGCCTTTTTGCAATGCGGACATTCATATGGCTTTTCACCGGTATGTGTTCGTAGATGACGACCGAGAGTACCTTTCTGTGTAAATGCCTTGTCACAATACGAACATTCATATGGCTTTTCATCGGTATGTGTTCTTATATGGATTTTCAAAAACGTTCTCGTAGTAAATACCTTTTCACAATACGAACATTCATATGGCTTTTCTCCGGTATGTTTTCGTAGATGAGTATCGAGACCACCTTTCTGTGCAAATGCCTTGTCACAATACGAACATTCATATGGCTTTTCACAGGTATGTGTTCGTAGATGACGATCAAGACCACCTTTCTGTGCAAATGCCTTGTTACAATACGAACATTCATATGGCTTTTCACCGGTATGTTTTCGTAGATGACAATGAAGACCACCTTTCCGTGCAAATGCCTTGTCACAATACGAACATTTATATGTTTTTTTACTGGTATGTGTTCTTAGGGTATGCAGTTTAAGCTTGCGTTTGCCTTTAAATGCCTTATCACGATACGCACATTTATATGGCTTTTTGACGGTATGTGTTCGTCGTAGATGACGATCGAGAGTACCTTTTCGTGCAAATGCCTTGTCACAATACGAACATTCATATGGCTTTTCACCGGTATGCGTTCGAACATGAACATCAAGATAACTTTTCCAGTTAAATGTTCTACTGCAATAAGGACAGTTATGTATGTTGGTATTCCTTTGTTGCTGAGGTTGTACATTTGGTAGAAGTCCCTTCCTAATTCCTTTCATGGAACTTAATGACTCATCCATCTCTTCATTAACTTCATCAAAGTTACTTTCAACATCAGTGTTATTCAATAGGTTCTGCTCATTGACATCGATCGTATCACCATCCACTACTTCTTTTTTTATTTCAATACTTTCACTTTCTCTAGTTTCCATTTCTCTTTGCTGAAGTTGTATATTTTGTACAACATCCTTCCTTCCTTTCATCTCAGTAATTATGGTACTCAATGACTCATTAATCTCAAAGTCTTCACTAACTTCATCAAGGTTATCGTCAACATCAGTGTTATTCAATGTGTTCTGCTCATTGACATCATTTGCATCATCATCGCTTACTTCTTCTATTTCATGGCTTTTGCTTTCTCTATTTTCCATATCTCTTTTATTTTCAAAATACATTGAAGTACAATGATTAACACAGCCGTAGTCTTCAGTCTGTGTAGCCACACTACACAGTTCCTTTGATTCTGGAGGTACATCACTGGTCTGTACTCTGAGTACGGTGTTCTACATTAACAAATAAGACATTAGAACCATCCCATTTCTATGCCAATATCTGTTAGCTTAACGTTTTTATGCACCTGACCTTAGAACTCACTCTCTATCAGGATATTAAATATAGGTAACAGTCAAAAGGTATGGGAAGAAAAGGTATGGATGGGAAGGTATGGGATGAGAAGGTATGGGATGAGAAGGTATGGGATGAGAAGGTATGGGATGAGAAGGTATGGGATGGGAAGGTATGGGATGGGAAGGTATGGGATGGGAAGGTATGGGATGGGAAGGTATGGGATGGGAAGGTACTGTATGGGAAGGTATGGGATGGGAAGGTATAGCATGGGAAAGTTGACATGGGAAGGCATGGGATGAGAAGGTATGGGATGGGAAGGTATGGGATGGGAAGGTATGGGATGGGAAGGTATGGGATGGGAAGGAAAGGTATGGGATTAGACTCTTCCACAGTCTCTCGCTCAGCTGTTCTGTCTCCACACTTTGAGACTGTAATGGTACAATGACTGAAAGGACTTATGGGTCCCGAAAACTTGGACCCAGCTTGCTTTGGGATCCAAAATACTCGTCCACCGTCTCTCTCGTTTTCGCTGCCATCTTGAAAATATTGAAATGAGAGAGAGACTGTGGACGAGTATTTTGGTTCCCAAAGCATGCTGGGTCCAAGCTTTCGGGACCWATAAGTCTTTTTTGTTATTGTACCATTACAGCCTCTAAGCGTGGAGACAGAACGGCCGATCAAGAGACTGTGGATTGGAAAGGACAGGACAGGAGAAGACAGTATGGAAGAGGATACTATAGGGAATAACAAAACGGAACATAACAAAATAATAATATGAAGAATAATTAATCTGAATAATCTATCAAGAACAAACTTACCTCAGAGGTAGAAGGATCTTCATGCCAACTGGCGATGTTGTCATAAGACAAAAAATCCATTTCATCTGAATCCCTTTCTTCTCTCTTTATATGGACATGTGACTCCATTTTACTGAAATAAATATCAAGTCACATTATTAGCAAGGATGTATCATGAAGTGAAATGTCTGACTGCAGAGCAAGGAAAGTGGAAAATAGAGCAGCATGATGGTTCCTTCCGCATTTCTGTAACATACCTCATAGCTACAGGCATAAATTTCTTGTTTGACCAGGCACACAGGGGAAAAAATCGGACTCCCAAATTGGGAATTTGTTGGGAATTTTCTTGAACTTCCAACGAATTCCCATCCAATTCCCAGAGAGGGCGAAATTGGGAAYGTAGCACTGATTCTTAATGTTAGTTAGTTGGGAATTTTGTTTTTCTATTGGGTATTAGAAGGAAATTCCCAACAATAAATCCCAACGTTGGTGTTTGAATTCGGAATTCAAGGAAATTGCCAACAATTCCCAATATGGGAATCTGTTTTTTTTTTCCCCTGTGGAAAACGCAGAATATTTACAATGTAAATATTTGAGTATCAGTCCAATTATTTAACAATTATTACCCAAAAGGGAAATGAATATGGTCTTACATGTATATATCACTGGTCACTCAACCAATCACAGCAGCCGAAACTCTATATTCAAGTGTAAAATTTTACTAAATATTTACAGCTCACAATCGAAACATGAACAATTCTTTTCATGACTATCCAATCAGTGCTCTCCCTAAAAACAACAGGATCAAGCATTTTAATGCACCAGCCAATCACAAATGTCAGAAAGTCTTATATTATTCAACATGACTGCTGAGTCTTTTGTTATCTGATCTATTAATATTAGTGTTTATTCATTTATTGTATATTTTCTATGATTATTTTGCTGCTTATTTATTTAATTCTTGTAATATATTTAATATTTTTTTCTTATATGAATATAATTATATTGT